CACCGCTGATCTTTAGGAAGGAGTCTGTCTGGCGCTTACCTTCTCTGTGGTGGAGTGGGGATGGTCGCCTCGAACCCAGTGGCTTACAGACCCGCCTCGGTGAGTCGCCGTGATTCTTGTTGTAGGCGGGCACGGTGGATGGAGCTGGCGGGGGGGGCGATCGGATTTTTGGTGTCATACAAATCTAAGGACTTCGTGGGCTTATATATTTGGCTGAATCTGATTTCTTTATTTAAGATAATTATTTCGTCGGTTGTGCTGGTCTATATTGCGTTAGTGTATTTATAGGTTATTTTTTTTTATATGTGTAGTATAGAATTAGGTAGGTATGAGTTTGTTATAGTTGGGTAGGTATTTATATATTTTTTTGTTGTTGTCGTTTAGTATTAGGTATTATTTTTAGTAGATCATCACACACACATAGGGGTTTATTGTTATATTATTTTGTTTATGGGGTTATATGTTGTATTGGATGTATATATACTTAGTATTTTATATATGATAGAGTGTGATATACTATGGGGGATATGAGCGGTAGTATTATATGATTAGAGTATGGTTGTGTTAGTGTATTCGTTTTATTGTATGTATGTATGTTGTATGTATGGACTGTTATGTTTGCGGCGACTTGTTGGGTAATTATCGATAAGTTTTACTGTCATTGTAATGTAATCTCTCGCTAATGTTTCTGTTGAAGTCTTACTTGCATTTGTTATCATCAATGTGCATATTATTTTTTTGGTGTCATTTTCTTGGTTCGAGATCATTCATCGGTTTGTGGTGTTGTGCCAGCTCCTGCCTGTTATATTGGTAGGGGGTGGGGTGTCTCTTAATGGGGTGTTGTTTTTGGGGTTTTTGTCTCTTGTTCATTATGTTTGGTTGATCGAACTGATGTTAGATTTTGTGTGCACTATTTAAAAAGTTTGATTCTAGTTCCGGTTGTTTTTTTTGGGTTGTTTTTGTTGTTGTGTTGATTGGTTGAGGGAGACTGGCTTTTTCTATTAGTTTTGTATATTTGTTTTTGTTTGTTTGTGTGTTTGTGCATTCATCAGTCCATTTTTTCTTTTTTTCATTTATTTATTTCGATGTTTTTTCGATGTCCGTTGAACTTGTTTCGTGGATGTTTGGTCGGATTTTAAGGTCTAATTGTGATAAGTGCGCTGCTTCAGTATTTACAGAAGGTAGTTATGGTGGTTGTAGAGGTGTAGGGCGGAGAGATGGGGGGTGTGTTTGAGATGATGTGATGATGAGTTGGTTGGGACGCGATGGGATTTGTAGGGGATTGGATCTGTTTGATTGGTGTGGTGCGTTGAGTAGTGTTTGATTGTTTGAGAGGATTTTTGTGTTATTGGGATGACGATGATGATTATTGTTTTTGTTGAAGAGAGATATGTATTGAGATTGTATGATGAGAAGTGATAGGTAGCATAGTTCGTTTCTTTTTTTTTTTTTTTTTTTTTGTAGATGTTTCGATTTTTTGATATGTGATTGTTTGTTTCTTTTCGTTTTGTTTTTTTTTGTGTGGTATGTTTTTTTTTTATTGAGATTTGTGTAGATTTTTTGTTTTTGTTATTTTTTTTTTTCTTTTTGGTTTTTTCGTTTTTTTGTTTTATTGTTTTTGGTGGGATGGATTGTATTTCTGGTTGTTGATCTGGGATTTGTTTTGTATGTGATGTTGTTGTGGAGTGGGGTTTTTTCTGTGTTTTGTGGTTTTGTGATTTTATTATTTTTTTTTTTTGTGTTTTGTTCGTTGTGGTTCCTGTGGTTATTGTGGAGTATCGTTGTTCTATGGAGTGGATTGTTATTCTTTTTTGTATGGATAGGTTGGGTTTGTTGTACTTGATGTTTTTTTTTGTGAGTGGTATGGCTTTTTGTTGTGTAGTTGATGTTTGTTTTTTCGGTAGGTATTTTTTTTCGTGTATGTTGTGATTGTGTATTTTGACTTTTTTTTTTTTTTTGTTGTGTTGTTTTTAGGGATTGTATTTTTTTGGTTGTTTTTTTTTTGTTGTTTTGTTGTGGATTTTGTTTTTGTTGTTTTGGTTTTTTTTTTTTTTTTTTTGTAGGGTTTGGTTTTGATTTTTTTTTTTTTTTTTTGTTTTTGTTGTTTGGTTTTTTTTTTTTTGTTGTTTGTTGTGTGTTTGGTGGAGGAGGGGCCAGGGGGTTCGCTTGGGGGTAGGGTAAGGAGGGGATGAAAAGAAGAGAGGAGAAGAGAGAAAGAGAGAAAGAGTGGAGAAAGAGGAGAAAGAAAGCTGCCCGAGAGAAGTTGAGAGGAAGAGGAAAGAGGGGAGAAAGAGAGAAAGAGAGAGAGAGAGAGAGAGAGAGAGAGGAGGAGAGAGAGAGCGGAGAGAGGAGAAGAGAGAAGAGGAAGGGCAGCGATTGAGTGATTGGAGATGTTTTTTGTTATTTTCTGATTGTTTATTGATGTAGTTTTGTTGTATTATGATAGTAGATTATTTATTTTTTGTTTGTGTTTGTGTTGTGTTTGATGTTTTTGTTTTTTTTTGTTTGGTTGTTGTGGTTGTGTGTCATATCTTTCCATTTTACATGGTGATCTAGTCGGTAGTTCTATCTATTGTTGTCTGATTGTCGCTTATTCTATTCTATTAATTTACACTACATTCTATCTGAATACTTTGTTATTATATTCTTTTTCAGTACACTACGTGGTGCCCATATGAATTCTGTAAGATTTTTCTAATGAGCAGCTGCAGTTTGGTTGTGAGCGAGCTCTTTTTTCTGTTTTTAAGTTGTTTAGGCGTGTTCTTTTGTTGTTGGTGTTGAGTGTGCTTTTTGTTTTTTTTGGTTTGTTTTTTGGTGCGGTTGTGTTTTTGAAATCGTAGGTATGTTGTGTGGTGGTTGGATTTGTTAGCGATGGAGGTTTTGTGTTTTGGTTTTTCTGTTGCGGTATGTCTTGGGTCGAAGATGAAATTGTTTATTTTGAGGAACATGCTTTCTCTGGTGGGTAGTTTATAGTAAGATTCTACACCGATTGTGGGTTTTGTGTGGTGGGGTTTGGTTTGGTTTGGTGTTGGTTTTTTGTGTTTTCCTTGTTTACTGTGTATTAGTGTGTTGATATGGAAATTATGGGTTTGGTGTAAAAAGTAAGGGTTTTAAAATTGTGTCGATAGTAAGAAGGCGTTAATTTTTTGGTTTGGTATTAGCAATCCATTCATGCGTGTGGGTGTTAATATTGTACATTATATTGTTTTTTGCGAATTTATTTGTATGTGTTTTTATTAGATCATAAGCTTTAATTTGAGAGAGTAGAGAGATATGTGTAGATTTTTTTGTTGTTTGTTGTGTTTTATGTTGTTTTTTGGTTATGTTTATTGTGGGGTGTGGTTGTATTTGTGTTTGTTTTCTTTTTATTTATTTGGTTTGTATTGTGTGTGTGTTATGGTTTTTCTATAGTTTGTAGGGATTTTTTTTTTTTTTGTTTGTTGTGTTGTTTTTATTGTGATTTATGTTATTGGTTGTTTTGGGAGTGGGGTGTTGTGGGTATTGTTTGGTGTTTTTGTTTTTGGGGTTTTTGGTTTTTTTTTTTGTTTTTTGTTTTTTTTGTGGTGTTGTGTTTTTTGTTGATGGTTTTGATTGTTTTGGTTTGTTTTTGTAGTTGTTTTGTTTTTTTTTGGTGGTTGTTTTTTGTTTTTTTTGATTGATTTGTATTTTTTGATGTGTTTTTTGTTTTGTTTGTTTTTTGGTTTTTTTTTTTTTTTTTTTTTTGTTGTTTGTTTTTTTTTTTTTGTTTTTGGTAGTTTTTTGTTTTTTTTTGTTTTTTGTTTTTTTTTTTTGTTTGATTTTTTTTTGTTGGTGTTTGTTTTTGTTGTGGTTTTTTTGTTTTTTTTTGGTTTTTTTTTTTTTTTGTGTTTTTTTTTTTTTTTTTTTGTATTTTTATTTTTTTTTTTGTTTTTCTTTTTTTTTTTTTTTTGTTTTTTTTTTTTTTTTTTGTTTTTTTTTGTTGTTTTTTGTTTTTTGTTTTTTCCTCTTTTTTTTTTTTTTTGTTTTTTTTGTTATTTTTTTTTTTTTTTTTTTTTTTTTTTTTTATTTGTTGCACGAGAGAGCATGCGAGAGAAGGATGGGAGAATAGAGTCTGTTTTTGGTTTTTTTTTTTGTTTTTTTTTTTTTTTTTGTTTTTGTTTTTTGATGGGTTGTGAGAGTGGCGGTGAGTGGGAGAGAGGGAGTGTAGAGGTTAGAGAGATTTAGATTTGGACAATGCAAAGGAGTGAGTTAGATGAGAATGAGAGATGAGAGGGAGGATGAGAGAGGAGAGAGAGAGAAGAGAGAGAGAGAGAGGAGAGAGAGAGAGATGAGGAGGGGATGGAGATGATGAGAGATGGAGAGAAGAGTGAGACAGATTGAGATGTGAGAGACGAGAAAGATGGAGAGTGAAAAGGACCGTAGAATAGATGAGGAGAGGATGTACGTGAGAGACCGAGACGACGATGAGAACCGAGCGTGGGGGCGAGTGGCTAGTGAGAGAGAGAGTGATGATGATGGATGTAGAGAGTAGTAGGGATGAGGTCGATGAGAGTGAGGAGAGTGATGGAGACCAGGAGAGATGAGTAGTAGAGAGAGGAGATGAGAGATAGATGGGGAGAGTGATTGTGATGAGATTGTGGAGGAATGATGATGAGATAGAGAGTAGAGAGAGGAGGGGTGGACGCGCAGACATAAAAAGAGCAAAGGTGGTGGTATAAATAGAATGAAGATAGAATTAAACGGACACATGCAGACCACCGTGTTATTGCGGAGTATAGTTTGTCCTTTGGCCCCGTATGAGGGAGCTTTGTGTGTGCGTGAGGGTCCTTCCTAGGATAAGGACGTAAGGACGCGATCTGACGGAAGGTAAGTCGATAGGCGTGTCCTGGGGTACTCCGTGCTTTTCTTGTAGAGGATGCGGCCAGCCTCCCCGGCCTTGGAGACTTCGTGGAAAGTCCCGAAGACCGCTCTGGTCATTTTGTGTTGTCGTTATTAGTCTACGTACATTCGTATTCATTGTGTTAAAGATACAGATACAGACTCTTGCAATGCTGCTTGGTGCGCCTGTGCTTATGTGCCGCTTGGGTTGGAATGCCGCTGGATGCAATCTCTCAAAAACGCAATATGAATGTCAGGATTGAAACAATTTCTATGCACAAAAGGTTAAAAATATGAATGAATTTCACACACAAGAGATGTCTTGTGTCTTTAACGGTTCCGATGAATATCTTCGCCAGATGACATGTATTTCTGACGAATCGAGAATTCGGTACGAATACGTCTTTTGTATTGTGAAGATATTCATGTGCTGTATTTTATTACCGTTGGTTGTACATAGGATTGTTTGCGTCTGTGGTATTTCATCTCATTCCGTTGTCTTATGAGATTTGCATTTAGCGGCATTCCACTCAAGCTGGTTACAGTATGCAGCAGGTCGCACCAAACAACATTTCAAGACTGCGTATCTGTATCTTATCCAAGACTTCACATACACCAACAAGGAAATGAAATACAAACACATAGGCCATACTGCTCATACACGACGTGAGAGGAAAGAAACACTTGCCTCCACGAACTGCACATAAGCCGTGTTCGCCTCCCAGATCATGGTGCAGGCGGGGTCGTCGAGGACGTCCCTGACCGACTGGTACGGCTGCGGGATGTGACGCACCGCCAGCAGGGACATGAGGTTCCCCGCGTAGCTCTTCACCGTCACCAGCGTCACGATCATCCAGCCGGCGAGCAGCACGCGTTCCCACCGCCGCCCCGGAGGCACCTTCGCGTCTGGAGTGCGTGAGGGACAGGTAGATGGCTTGGTAGATAGAGATGAAGTTGTAGATAGACACAAATCAAGTTTGATATAAGCATGAATAACAATAATAATGAAGTAATAGCTGGCGAGAAGCACCCGCTCCCACCTTCGTGTCTGGGAGTGCGTGAGGGACAGATAGATGGCTTGGTAGATAGGCAAGAGAGGTAGATAGACACAAATCGGGTTTGATATAAGCATGAATGATAATAATAATGAAGCAATAACTGGCGAGCAGCACGCGCTCTCACCGCCACCCCGGAGGCACCTTCACGTCTGGGAGTGCGTCAGGGACAGGTAGATGGATTGATAGATAGGCAGGAGAGGTACATAGACACAAATCGGGTTTGATATAAGTATGAATAATGATAATGAAGTAATAACTGGCGAGAAGCACGCGCTCCCACCGCCGCACCGCTCCGGAAGCACCTTCGTGTCTGGGAGTGCGTGTAAAGGACAAAGATGGGTTAATAGATAGAGATGAAGTAGTAAATAGACAAATTAGAGAGAGAGAGAGAGAGAGAGGGACAGACAGAGAAACAGAGAGACGTGTGTGTGTAGCACATAAATATTTAGAGAAAAACAAAGACATGGTACACTGATTCAGACAAGCTCTCCATTAACGTCGTTCTCCAAGTCCCAAGGGCCCTTCACCTTGTATCAGCAACGTCCGCACGACAGCGAAGTACAAGTTCCTGGAGCCCCGGCCCGGCAGGCGCTGCCCCGACAGGTAAGAGAGGAAGGCCACCGTCAGGATGACCAGAAGCCCCAGCGCCGCCAACCCCGCCCACACTTCGGGCGTCAGGGGCAGCAGGAAGCCCCAGGGATCGATCTCAGCGCGCCCTTTGCCGCCCAGGATTCTCGCGTAGTCTATCAGGATCGGTTTGGTGAAGTCTACGACGGCGGCGCGGACGGTGCTCATGCCGAAGGGCCCCAGACCGAGGTCCACCTCCTGCAGGAGCGGAAAAAGGAGTCAGGTAATCTGGCAAATCCTGTTCTAATGGCGGACTGTTCGATCTTAATATATCATCGGTCTTGTGGCTGGTGAGTATCTATGTTGTTGCAACGTCATGCTACGAGAATGCACGCTGGAAAAAGTTCATCGTATCATATGTTCTTCCTTTCATCAGGCAAATGAACTGTCCTCACTTTACTGGCGAGTGGAGAACAATTTGTCAGTATCTACGATTGCAACGCTTCTTAACGGAGTTGGGTGAACCAGAAGATAATGTACATCATTTGCAGGATAACGCTTCATTATCAGAGCTGAACCCCCCCCCCTCCCTCTCTCTCTCTCTCTCTCTCTCTCTCTCTATTATATATATTATATATATATATATATATATATATATATATATATTATATATATTATATATATATATAATATTACACACACACCACACACACTTATATACATACATACATCACACACACACACACATACCACACGCACACACACTCACACACTCACACATATATATATATATATATATATATATATATATATATATATAATATATATTAATACGTACATACATACATACATACTACACACACACAACCACCACACCACACACACACACACACACACACACACACACACACATATATATATATATATATATATATATATATATATATATACTTACACACACATCTATCTATCTATGCATATGCGTGGGCGCGCATGTATATATATATATATATATATATATATATATATATATATATAATATATATATAATATATATAATATATATATATATATATACTATATATACATACATATGTATGTACATGTATGTATATGTATATATATAATATATAGAATATATACATACATATATATATATATATATATATATATAATATATAATATACATATAATATATATGTTGTGTGTATGTATATATATATATATATATATACATATATATATATATATATATATATATATATATATATATATATACCATATATATATATATATATATAATATATATATATATATTATATATATATATATATATATATTATATATATATATATATATGCACATTTCTAACAGCCAAACAAATCGCAATTCCATAATCAAAGGTTAGTCACTGCCAGTGGATGGCTATTCCTTACACCCAGGGGGTCATTTACAAGCAGAGCCACAGGTGGCTGATGTCACAAGAGCCTGTCACGAGTATTATTGTTACTGTATTATTTATAATTATTATTACTATTTCTTTATTGTTTTTCTGTCATCTTTATTATCATTATTATCATTATCATCATGATCATCATCGTCATTACCCTAGCAACCGCCTCACCTTCCTGGACACCATTCCCACTACTGCTATTATCTTTATTGTTTTCTATCATCTTTATACATCATCATCATTACCCTAGCAACCGCCTCACCTTCCTGGACAACATTCTCACTGCTGCTATTATCTTTATTGTTTTCTATCATTTTATTATCATTACTATCATTACCATTATCATCATCATAATCATCATCGTCATTACCCTAGCAACCGCCTCACCTTCCTGGACACCATTCCCACCATGCCGTTGTAGGAACCGTCTGGCAGCCTCCCTCCCCAGGCACCGTCGGGAGGGCGCTGGAAACTGTACCTGTGGTGGCCAGAACGAACAACTTATCAGGAAATAAACCAAATTAGACAAAAAGATTCGTGATAGAACCTCGAATATGATTTTATATCTTTGCGGGTAGTGAAGATGCCATCTTGGCAAATAATAGGGTTCATCACTAAATTTTTAGACACCGATTTATTGACTATGACAGAAAAACATCCTGTGACCAAATCAATTTAAGACTACCTTACCATTCACTTGTTAAACTTGAAAACTTACGTGAAATTCATGGACTTGGCCAAAATATCAAGCAGATTGGCCATGGGTCCCTTAAAGGAGAAAGGTGGTCCTGGACTCTCAACGACTTCCACGTGCGGGATGTATTCCTCCGCCGCCACGGTGAGAGAAGCTCCTTCGGGGAACCTATCATAGAAAACGGCCTCGGAAATCATGCTCGGGAAATTATCATAGAAAACGGCCTCGGAAACCATGTTCGGGGAACCTATCACAGATAACGGCCTCGAAAGCATATTCGAGAACTTTTCATAGAAAACGGCCTCGGAAATTATGTTCGGGAACCTACCCAGAAAACGGCCTCGGAAAGCATATTCGAGAACTTTTCATAGAAAACGCCTCGGAAATTATGTTCGATTCTTTAAGATTTCTTTTAATATCGAGTTCATAATGATTTTGAGAAATAGAGACGATAAATGATTTCGTTTGACCATGAGAAACATGTCCCATACAACAATACCCTTGTCTGCATACCCATTGCATATTTTCTGACCTTGAAAATTTGTCGGGGAAAACCTGCTCCTGAAGGACAAGGCCGCCCCGAGAAGACCAAGACGCGACCTTCTGCAGCTGCCCGCTCGGAGGCCTGTAGGGCAGCTGCACGTAGACGCTGGGAGAAAAAAAAAATTGGTAAATATTGTCATTGCATATTTATCCGCGTCCATTCTACCTTATGCGTCTGTATTCCTATACATCTGTTTATCTAATTATCTATGTATTTACTTATCTGTCTACTTGTTTATCTTCGTGTATATGTGTTTATCTAATTATCTACGTATTTATTTATCTGTCTACAAGGTAATCCTTTATATCTGTTTATCGAATTATAGATATAAAGAGACGGATACACAGACAAATGGATAGGCAGGCAGATAAAGAAACATACAGACAGAACATGACATGCAGTAATGGACAGGCTGACATACAGATAAGAACTGAGAGAGACAGGCCGACCGATTCAAACGATGGGACCAGAAAAGTTCAGACAGCATCACCTTATAAGCCCACACCACACACACACACTCATCATCATCACAGAAACCCACACACACACACACACCACACACACGCACACACTATAAAACGATGATAATGATAACAATTAATATAGATATAATGATAATGATTATAAAGATAATGATAATAATTATAATACTAATAATAGTAATGATTATGATAATGATAATAAAAAGATAATAGTAATAATAACAATAATAGTCCTAATAAAGATAATGCCAATGATAATAACAAAGATATTAATAACAATAAAAAGAATGATCATGATAGTAATAACAAATCTAATAGCAACAATAATAACAATAATTATCATGATAATGATAATGGAGATAATAGCAATAACAGTAAAATAAAATAATAAACCCACACTAAAAGAGATCCCTCAAAGCCCCAGCAATACCTCGCGAAGAGCAGGTCCTGACCGAGAACCAAGAGCGCGGAATTCGTCAAGGAGAGCGCCTGGTACAGCTGACGGAGCTCCTGAAGGGGCAGGCGGGTGACGACCAGGAGCCTCGTGGCCCACACCAGGAGGCGGCCCCGGAGCGACGACTCGGCGAAGGAGGCCAGGAAGGCGGGGTCGTCGCTCGGTACGACCACGTTCACGCACCAGGACGCCTCACGGAGCTGGGAGAGGGAAGAACGAGAGAGAGAGAAAGGGGATAAATCGATACCGGGGAATTAAATAGTTTTCTAAAGTTTGTTATTGATTTTTTTTCGTGGGTTTTAAGCGCGTGTGGTTTCTCTGAACGGAGGGAGGGATTGCGTGGTTTCTGGTCGTATTTTCCTCTTTTTTAACGTTGATAATAATTGATATAAGCTAGAGCAGGGAGTAAAAGTAAGAAAAGATTTTTAACGTTGATAATAAAGGTTTGATCAAAGCTGGAGCAGGTAGTAAAATAAGAAGAAAATGAATATCGATCTGTAATTTTAGAATCAAACAGTGAAATGAGATATATTGGTTATATCAATCCTCTTTATTTATACGTGCACGATTTTTAAGCATGTATACTGTAGTATGTGCACACACACACACACACACACACACATATACATAAACACATTAGTATATATATGCACAAATGTGTTTGTGTGTGTGAATAATAAACATTGTTAAATTCAGTATCACTTACCTTCCGGGCTGTCTGGATCACCTCTTGTAGTTCTTTACCACCCGTAGTCCCGGGAGAATAATCACTTCCTGGCACCTCAAAGACACCCACGCCCCGAGGAGAAGGGCTCCGTCGAAGAAACTAAAACATTAAAATCACATTGTATATAATGGAATAGGCATTATGTTTAACGGTGATGTTTATGTTGGCAGCCCATTTTTTTTACTTTTATATACATTAATTCTTTTGCCGGGCGTTACGGAAATGAATGACAAAGATATCAAAGTAATTCAAGGAATGACAATGTAACAAGTGAGTAAGCCAACGTTAGTTATTCTCATTATCATTGATAGTGTCGATATCACTAATAGTATATCATCTCTGTCGATAAATTACATAAGATTTCAAGCCACTTTTAATCATTTCTTAGTGTCTTTGTTAATTGACGTCGTTAAGATTATACAAAGAGCTGTTCACGGATTCTGGTTGAAATGTGATTATGGATCGTTACAGTAATGGCGACCGATTGATTATCAACAATAACAATAACGATAATGATAATGATAATGATAACAATAGTAACATGATGATAGTAATATTATTATCATAACAATAATTAAAATATGATAGTAACAATAATGTTGTTGATAATGATGATTAAGGTGATGATAATGATAACAATAATAATAATGACGATGACGATGATGAGGATGATATCAATAATTATGATAAAAATAATAACTAGAAGCACTCAGAGAGCGCATACCTCCTCCAAGGCAATAACGTCGCTCATGCAATGAAGATATTCACAAAGAATTACACTGAAATCACTTCTTTCTCAAGTACACAGGTGACGTCCGTAAATCTAATCTCTTTGGCGGAAGGAAGGTCATAGGGGAACCTGTTTGACTGACACACCTCTGGTCAAAATTTCAGAAAAACCTATTCATAACATTTTGAGTTATCCTGCTAACAAACAAACTAACCAATGCAATGTTAGTAATGATAATAAAGAGGTAAGGGCCGACTGGTTAGCAACAATAACAATAATGATATTGGTAATGATAATGGTAATAACAATAATAAAAGGATAATGATAACAATAAGGATGCTGATAATAATAATCATGATAATAATGATAATGATAATAATAATATTTACAATAATAAGGATAATAATAATAATGATAACAATGATAATAAAAATTATAATTTTAATGATAAAAGGATAAAAACTACTACTACTAATGATAATAATGATGGTGATAATAACAGCAATAGTAAAAATAATATTGAGAATAACAATAACAATAATAATAGTAATAATAATAATAGTAATACACCAATATAATGATAATAATGGTGATATCAATGATAATAACATCAATGATAATGATAGTCATGACAATAACAATAATGATTAGCAATAACAACAACAACAACAATGATATTAATAATGATAATGAAAATAATAATAATGATAATAATAATAATAATAATAATAATAATAATAATAATAATAATAATAATAATAATAATAATAATAAAATAGTAATAATAATAATGATGATGATAACAATGATGATCATAAGAATAACAAAAATAATGATAACGATCATAAGAATAACAAAAATAATGATAATGATGGTAATAATAATGATGGTAATGATAATGATGATAATAATAATGATAGACTGCAACATTAAT